GTGGAAAGAGCTTTAGTGATAATTGTACACTTAAAAATCATCAATGGATTCACACAGGGGAGAAACCATTTCAGTGTATGGAGTGTGAAAAGAGTTTTAGTGATAATAGAAAACTTAGAAGACATCAACGGACTCACACAGGGGAGAAACCATTTAAATGCATTGATTGTGGAAAGAGCTTTAGTGATAATGGTACACTTAGAAATCATCAACGGACTCACACAGGGGAGAAACCATATAAATGCATTGATTGTGGAAAGAGCTTTAGAAATAATGGTACACTTAGAAATCATCAACGGACTCACACAGGGGAGAAGCCATATAAATGTGTGGAGTGTGGAAAGAGATTCAGTCAGAGTGGACACCTTAGACAACATCAACGGACTCACACAGGGGAGAAACCGTTTCAGTGTATGGAGTGTGAAAAGAGTTTTGGTGATAATGGAAAACTTAGAACACATCAACAGACTCACACAGGGGAGAAACCATTTGAATGCATAGAGTGTGGAAAGAGCTTCAGTCAGAGTGGAGACCTTAGAAATCATCAACGGACTCACACAGGGGAGAAAGCATTTGAATGCATAGAGTGTGGAAAGAGCTTTAATAATAGTGGATGCCTTAGAAGACATCAACGGACTCACACAGGGGAGAAACCATTTGAATGCATAGAGTGTGGAAAGAGCTTCAGTCAGAGTGGAGACCTTAGAAATCATCAACGGACTCACACAGGGATGAAACCCTTTAAATGTATGGATTGTGGAAAGAGCTTCAGTCAGAGTGGAAGCCTTAAAAAACATCAACAGACTCACACAGGGGAGAAACCATTTAAAGGTATGGAGTACAGTAAATGCTTTGCTCAGAGTGGAAATCTTAGAAAACAGCAGATACGTGGGGCAGAAACCATTTAAAGGTATGGACTGTGGAAGGAGCTTCAGTCAGAGTGGAAGCCTTGATTTATGTCAAAAAACTCACACAATGGAGAAACCATATAAATATCAGGAAAGTAGAAAGAGGTTCACTCTTAGTGGAAGTTCAGAATCAACAGACTCATGGACAGGAAGAACTTTAAGAGTTGAAACCCTTCAAACCATCAACAAACTCAGAGAGGAGAAGCAGTTTAAATGAAAAGACTGCAAAAAATGCTTTCTTTATAATGGAGTATTTAAGGAACAGGGACACGGGTGGCGCTGCGGGTTAAACCACAGAGCCTAGGACTTTGCCGATCCGAAGTTCGGCGGTTTGACTCCCCGCAATGGGGTAAGCTCCCGTTGCTTGGTCCCTGCTCCTGCCAACCTAGCAGTTCAAAAGCACGTCCAAGTGCAAGTAGATAAATAGGTACCGCTCTGGGGGGAAGGTAAAAGGCGTTTCCGTGCACTGCTCTGGTTTGCCAGAAGCGGCTCAGTCATGCTGGCCACACGACCTGGAAGCTGTACGCTGGCTCCCTCAGCCAACAAAGCAAGATGAATGCCACAACCCCAGAGTCGGCCACGACTGGACCTAATGGTCAGGGGTTCCTTTAACTTTACCTTTATTTAAGGAACTTATTTAAGGAAGGCAGCATCTCACAATGGTGAGAATAATTTTAGATGAAAGTAACTTTAGTTTTTGCACCACACCCTGTCACCCCCCACCGCATGATCCAAGCACTGCTTCTTCACCAGAACTTAATCGCTGCCTCCTGCACGTTCTGAAGAAAACTTGAAATACTGAAATTGAATGGGGGATTCCCCCCCATCCTAATTTCAAGAGGGGGAAGGAGGGGCTGCAGGTACCAGGGAAATCTCCTGGGGGGGGTGCATCTTCCCTCATGAACTTCCATGGGGCAACCCCAGAGCTCCTGCTCATTCTAGTGTTTGGGAAAGAGAGTATTTTTCCATAGTCCCAGAATTTTTGATTCAGTCATGTACTCAGGAGTTTTCCTACCAGAGGACCACAGTGCTGTAGCTGCTGCTGTTGTCATGGACTGGCTGGTGATGGGGGGGGAGGCACAAGCTGGGGGACTCACAAGGGAAGAAGGCTCAGAGCACAGAGACTGGTGGGGGTATGAGCAGAAAGAGGGAGAAAGGGGAACAGACCGGAAGGGGAGATGTTGCAAGCTGAGGAGGAAACAGGGTTAGGTGAGCGGGAAGAGTCTGGGGCAGAGAGCAGTTCAGGCTCAGAGGGAGGAGAGGAGGGGGCCAGGAGACCCAGAGGAGGCCGGCTACTGAAGCATCCAGGGAGACTCCCCCTCCTGCTGCGACCAGCACATGCCTCTGAGTCTGGCGCTTAGAACTCTTAGAATGTGGGGATCCCATTTTTCAACCAAAGCAAAAACCCGCTAGCCTTTTCCCAGGTCTTTTCTTACCTGACAGTCGTTCGTCTTCTCTACGAAGGTCTCTACAAAGTCCTTCTCCCTCCCTTTACTTACCATGGGGTCCCAGCAACCATAGAATCATAGAATCATAGAATCAAAGAGTTGGAAGAGACCACAAGGGCCATCGAGTCCAACCCCCTGCCAAGCAGGAAACACCATCAGAGCACTCCTGACATATGGTTGTCAAGCCTCTGCTTAAAGACCTCCAAAGTAGGAGACTCCACCACACTCCTTGGCAGCAAATTCCACTGTCGAACAGCTCTTACTGTCAGGAAGTTCTTCCTAATGTTTAGGAGGAATCTTCTTTCTTGTAGTTTGGATCCATTGCTCCGTGTCCGCTTCTCTGGAGCAGCAGAAAACAACCTTTCTCCCTCCTCTATGTGACATCCTTTTATATATTTGAACATGGCTATTATATCACCCCTTAACCTCCTCTTCTCCAGGCTAAACATGCCCAGCTCCCTTAGCCGTTCCTCATAAGGCATCGTTTCCAGGCCTTTGACCATTTTGGTTGCCCTCCTCTGGACACGTTCCAGTTTGTCAGTGTCCTTCTTGAACTGTGGTGCCCAGAACTGGACACAGTACTCCAGGTGAGGTCTGACCAGAGCAGAATACAGTGGCACTATTACTTCCCTTGATCTAGATGCTATACTCCTATTGATGCAGCCCAGAATTGCATTGGCTTTTTTAGCTGCCGCGTCACACTGTTGGCTCATGTCAAGTTTGTGGTCAACCAAGACTCCTAGATCCTTTTCACATGTACTGCTCTCAAGCCAGGTGTCACCCATCTTGTATTTGTGCCTCTCATTTTTTTTGCCCAAGTGCAATACTTTGTTTCTCCCTGTTAAAATTCATCTTGTTTGTTTTGGCCCAGTTCTCTAATCTGTCAAGGTCGTTTTGAAGTGTGATCCTGTCCTCTGGGGTGTTAGCCACCCCTCCCAGTTTGGTGTCATCTGCAAATTTGATCAGGATGCCCTTGAGACCATCATCCAAGTCATTGATAAAGATGTTGAATAAGACCGGGCCCAAGACAGAACCCTGTGGCACCCCACTAGTCACTCTTCTCCAGGATGAAGAGGAACCATTGATGAACACCCTTTGGGTTCGGTCAGTCAGCCAGTTACAAATCCACTGAGTGGTAGCATAGTCAAGTCTGCATTTTACCAGCTTCTTTACAAGAATATCATGGGGCACCTTGTCAAATGCCTTGCTGAAATCAAGGTAGGCTACATCCACTGCGTTCCCTTCATCTACCAGGCTTGTAATTCTGTCAAAAAACGAGATCAGGTTAGTCTGACATGACTTATTTTTCAGAAATCCATGCTGACTATTGGTGATCACAGCATTCCTTTCTAGGTGCTCACAACAAAAAATATTCCTTCCAGTAGCACCTTAAAGACCAACTAAGTTAGTTCTAGGTATGAGCTTTCGTGTGCATGCACCCAGATTTTACCGTAACACACTCACACAGGACATACATGACACTTTTTTTATAAATTCATACAAAATCAGCCGTACATTGGATCTGCACCGTTCAACTTTTATTTTACACCATGAATGAAGGACTATCAAAGGGGGGAGACTTGACACAAGGCAGCCAACACGTCCGCAGTGAGCCCTACCCAGTTGGCATGCCAACCTTGATGGTCCTAGACTCACAAAGGACCTGCAAATGGAAGTGGATTCAGTACGGACTGAAACACAGGACAGTGACCAGCCCTTCCCTCTGGGGACAGGAAACAGTGAACTCCCCTTTGTCCTCAGGAATGTAATCATGGGGAGGGGAAAGGAGGAACCAGACAGGTGAGAAGACCCTCAGGTTACCACCACAACTCCTCCTCCTTCAGAGAAGTCACACTTCTCTGAAGTCTCTCAGCCCCACTCACCTCACAGAGTGTTTGTTGTGGGGGAGGAAGGGAAAGGAGAATGTTAGCTGCTTTGAGACTCCTTTGGGTAGTGATAAAGCGGGAGATCAAATCCAAACTCTTCTTCTTCTTCTCCCTGAACCCCTCCTCTGTGTGATGTGTCAATGATGTAGTCATGATGGAGTCTTGGGGGTGTAGCATGGGGGATTAGCTGCTAATAAAAGTTGGGGGCTTCTTTTGTTGGGGGCTTCCATCTTGTTCCACCTGGGGGCAGGTGGGAGTCCTGTGGAGACAGTCTTCAATCAAGACCAAGCCGACTGGCTGCTCTTTTGCTCTGCTCTTCCTGACTGGTCTCCTTGTTTCTGGTCCAAGGGATCCCTCAGATTTTGGAATCCGCTTCTGGCTACAATTGTATTGGCTGCTTTTCTGAGCCTCTTGACTGTTGTGCATGGACGGTGCCTGTGTCCACGGTCCTTGTCCTGGCCTGAGTCAGAGGCTGGGGTGGGAAGCTGGGATTTGGGGGGAGTCGTTTAGCTGCCCCCTCCATTCCTGAACAGCACCAAGACCTAAAAGACGGAGGGATCTAAGCTCGTGGGGTGGGGGAGGGGAGGATGTTGCACTTGTGGGGGGGACCCCTCTTTGCAGCTGGATCTCCGGGATCAGCCCCTCCCCCGCTCTGCTGATCCACTAAAGGAAAAGGGGAGGGGGAACCTTCCTCTTCCTCTCCCCCCCCTCAATTCTTTCCATCCCCTCCCGGCACCTCCTCCTCTCACCCCGCCCCCACAGCCCCAGATCCCGCCCCCAAACGTCCTCCTCCTCCTCCAATCCGGCTTCTGCTCCGGAAATGGGGGGGTGAGCCCCCTCCCAACCTGCCTGCTTCTCCCGGAAGTGGAGCTTCCTCTTCGGATTGCTGCTCTGCTCCACAGCTCTAGGGGGGGCGCTAGGATGTTGCAGGAAAGGAGAATCGGGAGCGAGGAGAAACAGGTAAAGGGGTCCCGGGGGGGGAGGGGGGAGAAAAGGACCCAGAGACCCCTCCAGCTCCCCCCAAGCGCCTTCGGTGGGGCCTGGATCCCGGCACGCCTGCTGCGAAGGGGCGGGCGAGGACTCCCTGGCCCCGTTTCCCCCGCGCAGGCATCCCTGGGGCGCGGAGAAGCGGGCCAGGAAAGAGTTAAGGGATGCGGGAGACCTGGATAGAGACCCCCCCTGTCCCTCCCCGGCTCGTCTAGGGGAGCAATAGGGACGGAGAGATAGCGAGGGGTGAGCCAAGGGGGCGTCTGTGTGCAGGGGAGACTCTGGGATGCGAGGGGGGCAAGGGCGGGGGGAGGAGGGGGCACCCCCGGGGCAAGGAAGCGCAACATTGGGGGGGGGAGACAGCTGGCGGGGCCGCCTTGGCTTCTCCCTCCCGCCCAGGAATCGACCCCCCCCGCCCTTCAAGGCGACCAGAGAGGAATCCCTGGAAAGTGGGGGTCCTGTCCCCCCACCCCTATTTATCTGCAATCTCCATCCTCTTCCCACCCCATAATCCCCTGCCCTGTCCATACACAGCCATTCTGCCCAGTCCAACCACTGGTCCCATGGAGAGGAGAGGAAATCCCGAGAGGAAGAGGGGAGGGGGGAGGCCTTCTCAGAAGCGGCTCTTGGTTTCCCCAATCCCACCCAGGAAGCAGCCAGAAACCTTTTCCTCTCTCTCAGGCTTCCATCTTTAATGTCTTTTCCACTGAGGATGAGGATAATGTACACCTGTCATCAGAAACAGGGGTGCAGAGTCCATGGAATGGCTCTCAGGATGGATATAGAAGTTGCACCTCAAAAGCATTTCTGTTCCTCTTATTCTTTGTAGGCAATATCAGAGTGACTGACAAGCTGAGATACAACCCATCAGCATCCGATGACAGCGACTGCATGAATCTTCCCAGTCAAAGGACCCCTTTTCAGGATAAACAGCGCCTGGGGCTGGAGGCTCTACACACTGGGTGTGCCTGTGCAGGCCAAAGACTGCCAGTATTAGCACAGGTGAGATGTATGACCCCCCCCCCCAGATTTACATACTGTACATAAATGAGAGTTTGTGGGTGCGATTATAGTTTACGGCAACCCTGTGATTTTCTCCACCCATAACATTTCGTGAGCTGATATTGCAGTACGAATTCCAAATTAACTACAAAAAATCACAAGATGATAATAATAGTACAGTGGTACCTCGGGTTAAGAACTGAATTCGTTTTGCAGGTCCATTCTTAACCTGAAACTGTTCTTAACCTGAAGCACCACTTTAGCTAATGGGGCCTCCTGCGATTTCTGTTCTCATCCTGAAGCAAAGTTCTTAACAAAAGGTACTATTTCTGGGTTAGCAGAGACTGTAACCTGAAGCGTCTGTAACACGAGGTACCACTGTAGAAGTTCTAGTATTCGTCTTTTCCCCCAGCCACTCTGGGCAGCTTAGAGTACATATAGGTAAAGGTATAGGGCCCCCTGACCCTTAGGTCCAGTCGTGGCCGACTCTGGGGTTACGGAGCTCATCTCGCTTTATTGGCCGAGGGAGCCGGTGTGCAGCTTCCGGTTCATGTGGCCAGCATGACTAAGCTGCTTCTGGCGTACCAGAGCAGCGCACGGAAATGCCGTTTACCTTCCCGACAGTACAGTACATATACAAGACAGTAAAACACCAAACATTACAAACCTCCTGATACAGCTGTCTTCTAAATGTCAGATGGTTACCTACTTCCTTGCCCTCGGAAGGGAGGGCATTTCATGGGGAAGGAGGCCCTCTGGCTGGTTCCCTGGAACTTCACTTCTAACAGCAAGGGAACCAGCAGAAGACCCTCGGAGGCGGACCTCCCTGTCCGGACTGAGTGATGGGGGTGAAGATGCTCCTTTAGGTCCACAGGGCCAAGGCAGGGGCCAAAACAGCACTCAAGTAACAAACAGAGTAGAGTAATATCAGAATATGAAGTGGGAGCAGGCACATTTCAATACTGTAATTTATATATAATTCAATGTGAGTAACCCTGGCACTAGATAACAAGCCTCCAGGTGGACGTGCCCCACCTGCCCTTCACTTTCCTCTTCCGCACGGGCAGAATCTGCCTTCTGGACTGTGGGATTCATGGTTGTTCTCCTCCTCTCCATCCACCAGGGCTTGACTTCAGGTGCAGCAGAATTCCCCAGCCCCCCAAGGATTTGAGACCCATCAGCTTTCCTCACCTGGTTTAGGCAGCCGGTTGAAGCCGTTGCTTGAACACCTGTTGCATGCTGACAGCTTCTGGAAGCCACAGGTGAGAGCTGAGTGCAGGGTGGGGACCAAGGGTGGGAAAATGACCCCGGAATGTGTAGGACATGACCACCACCAAAGGAACTACTACTTCCCAACACCCCATGACATCTAGATTCAGGTAGTTAGCCGTGTTGGTGTGACGCAGTTGAAATAAAAAATTAAAAAATAGTCCAGTAGCACCTATGATTGTTCTAGATTTAAGCTTCCGTGTGCATGCACACTTCTTCAGATACACTGAGACAGATGTCACCAGACCCTTGTATATCGTGGGAGTGTGTGGTGGGTTTTTTCCTCAGAAGTGTACTCCTACTACCTAGAACAAGCTTATACCTAGAACAAACTTAGTTGGTCCCTAAGTTGCTGTTGTTGTTTTTTAGTCGATTAGTCGTGTCCGCCTCTTCGTGACCCCATGGACCAGAGCATGCCAGGCACTTCTGTTTTCCACTGCATCCTGCAGTTTGGTCAAACTCATGCTGTTAGCTTCGAAAACACTATCCAACCATCTCGTCCTCTGTCGTCCCCTTCTCTTTGTGCCCTCCATCTTCCCAACATTAGGATCTTTTCCAGGGGGTCTTCTCTTCTCTTGAGGTGGCCAAAGTATTGGAGTCTCAGCTTCAGGATCTGTCCTTCCAGTGAGCACTCAGGGCTGATTTCCTTAAGAATGGAGAGGTTTGATCTTCTTGCAGTCCATGGGACTTTCAAGAGTCTCCTCCAGCGCCAGAATTCAAAAGCATCAATTCTTTGGCGATCAGCCTTCTTTATGGTCCAGCTCTCACTTCCATACATCACTACTGGGAAAACCATAGCTTGAACTATACGGACCTTTGTTGGCAAGGTGATGTCTCTGCTTTTTAAGATGCTGTCTAGGTTTGTCATCACTTTTCTCCCAAGACCCTAAGTTGCTACTGGACTACTTTTGTTAATTTTTTTACTTCAACTGTGTCAGACCAATATGTCTACCTACCATTAAGTACAGTTATCTCCTTGCCTTGAATATCCTGCTTTTCAGTGCCAGATTAGGGTAGTCCTGTATCAGAAGACAAGCACAGGATAAGGCAGCACATCATTATTATAAAGAACCATTGGGGTGGGTGCTTCCGCATGGGATTCCCATGTGCCAGCTGCTTTCCTTCTGCTTCTCCTGCTCTCTCCATGCAATGTGAGGCATGTAGACGGAGGTCAATCTCCAAGAACAGGAGCCTCCCTGAGCACCCATTCAGCTGACCCCAAGCACCTAGCCTTGTCACTAGTTCTCTGACTGACCCAGACCACAGTCCCTGGAAGAGATGAAGGCCTGGGTCTCCCAAAATAGTCCATATCAACCTGCTGAGGTCAGCAGGACTGTACAGGTGATTCATGAAGAACTAGAGGTGGAAACGGGGGCAAACACTTGATTTGAAAGGCAGTCTCAGAGGACAACAGTATTCCAAGATCATGCTGTGTTATTAAAGATGATTGAGGATTATGAAAGTTTGCTGATGCATTACTACCATTAGACATCATACCATTTTCATTTCCTAAAAATTGGGAACATGGGGAGGACATGGGAGAATGTAGGAGATGTTGAAATAAGAGAAGGTGCTAATGGTGGTTGATGTGTCCTTTTTCCTCCTGTGTTTTCTTTCCTGAAACCCCATCAGGATTTGCTTTTTGCCCACTCTGAAAAAGGTGATGGAGAAGACAGAATTGCTGGGGATAGGACACCTTTCGTTTAATTAGGAATAGCCATTAAAATGTGTTAAATGTGGAATATGCTTCACTGAATGAGCAAACATAGTTCACATGAACGAACACAAAAAAGAAAGAACCCATTTACAAGTATGGAGTGCAGAAAGACTTAGAACACTCGAGGAGACTCACACAGAGAGAAAATGTTTTAACTGCAGGGTTAAAACATTTTCAGTCAGAGTGGAAACCTCAATACACATCAACGGACTCACACAGGGGAGAAACCATATGAATGTATGGAGTGTGGAAAGCTTCAGTCAGAGTGGAGACCTTAGAAATCATCAACGGACTCACACAGGGGAGAAACCATATGAATGTATGGAGTGTGGAAAGAGTTTTAATGAAAGTGGAAGGCTTAGAAGACATCAACGGACTCACACTGGGGAGAAACCATTTAAATGCATGGAGTGTGGAAAAAGCTTCAGTCAGAGTGCACACCTTAGAAATCATCAACTGATTCACACAGGGGAGAAACCATTTACATGTGTGGAATGTGGAAAGAGCTTCAGTTATAGTGGAAAACTTAGAAGACATCAACGGACTCACACAGGGGAGAAACCATTTAAATGCATGGAGTGTGGAAAGAGCTTCAGTCAGAATGGAGACCTTAAAATACATCAACGAATTCACACAGGGGAGAAACCATTTAAATGCCTGGAGTGTGGAAAGAGCTTCAGTTATAGTGGAAACCTTAGAAGTCATCAACGGACTCACACAGGGGAGAAACCATATGAATGTATGGAGTGTGGAAAGAGCTTCAGTAAGAGTGCACAGCTTAGAAATCATCAACGGATTCACACAGGGGAGAAACCATATGAATGTATGGAGTGTGGAAAGAGCTTCAGTCAGAGTGGAGAGGTTAGATCACATCAACGGACTCACACAGGGGAGAAACCATTTACATGTGTGGAGTGTGGAAAGAGCTTCAGTTATAGTGGAAACTTTAGAAGACATCAACGGACTCACACAGGGGAGAAACCATTTAAATGCATGGAGTGTGGAAAGAGCTTCAGTCATAGTGGAGACCTTAGAAATCATCAACGGATTCACACAGGGGAGAAACCATATGAATGTATGGAGTGTGGAAAGAGCTTTAATGAAAGTGGAAGGCTTAGAAGACATCAACGGACTCACACAGGGGAGAAACCATTTAAATGCATGGAGTGTGGAAAGAGCTTCAGTCAGAGTGCACAGCTTAGAAATCATCAACGGATTCACACAGGGGAGAAAACATATGAATGTATGGAGTGTGGAAAGAGCTTCAGTCGGAGTGGAGAGGTTAGATCACATCAACGGACTCACACAGGGGAGAAACCATTTACATGTGTGGAGTGTGGAAAGAGCTTCAGTTATAGTGGAAACCTTAGAAGACATCAACGGACTCACACAGGGGAGAAAGCATTTAAATGCATGGAGTGTGGAAAAAGCTTCAGTCAGAGTGCACACCTTAGAAATCATCAACTGATTCACACAGGGGAGAAACCATTTACATGTGTGGAGTGTGGAAAGAGCTTCAGTTATAGTGGAAACCTTAGAAGACATCAACGGACTCACACAGGGGAGAAACCATTTAAATGCATGGAGTGTGGAAAGAGCTTCAGTCATAGTGGAGACCTTAGATCACATCAACGGACTCATACAGAGGAGAAACCATTTCAATGTATGGATTGTGGAAAGAGCTTCAGTAAGAGTGGACACCTTAGAAGACATCAACAGACTCACACAGGGGTGAAACCATATAATTGTATGGAATGTGGAAAAAGCTTCAGTCAGAATGCAGACCTTAAAATACATCAACGAATTCACACAGGGGAGAAACCATTTAAATGCATGGAGTGTGGAAAGAGCTTCAGTCAGAGTGGAGACCTTAAAAACCACCAACGGACTCACACAGGGGAGAAACCATATGAATGTATGGAGTGTGGAAAGAGCTTTAATGAAAGTGGAAGCCTTAGAAGACATCAACGGACTCACACAGGGGAGAAACCATTTACATGTGTGGAGTGTGGAAAGAGCTTCAGTTATAGTGGAAACCTGAGAACACATCAATGGACTCACACAGGAGAGAAACCATATAAATGTATAGAGTGCAGAAAGACCTTTGGTGATAATGGAAAGCTTAGATCACATCAACGGAAACACACAGGGGAGAAACCATTTTAATGTATGGAGTACAGTAACTGCTTCACTCAGAGTGGAAATCTTCGAAAACATCAGCAGACACACAGGGGAGAAAGTATTTAAAGGTATGGACTGTGGAAGGAGCTTCAGTCAGAGAGGAACCCTTGATTTTTGTCAACAAACTCACACAAAAGACAAACCATATAAATATCAGGGAAGTAGAAAGAGGTTCACTCTTAGTGGAAGTTCAGAATCAACAGACTTATGGACAGGAAGAACTTTAAGAGTTGAAATTCTTCAAACCTCCAACAAACTCAGAGAGGAGAAGCAGTTTAAATGAAAAGATTGCAAAAAGTGCTTTATTTATAATAGAGTGATCAAGGAACATCCCAGGACTCTCACATGGGAGAACCCATTTAGATGTATGGAATGTGGGACGTCTTCCTCTCAGAGTCCACTCTGAGCAATGAACTCAGCAGGAAATCTTTCCGAAAAGCATGAGGTATATGTGAAGTTCTGGTGTTTATATGTAAAACTGTATAATAATGAAATAATGAAGTGAACATCTCACAATGGTGTGTATAATTTTAGATGTAAAGTACCTTTGGTTTTTGCACCAAACTCTGTCACCCCCCCACCGCATGATCTCCCAGCACTGCTTCTTCACCAGAACTTCATCGCTGCCTCCTGCCCTGCGCGTTCTGAAGAAAACTTGGAATACTGAAATTGAATGGGATATTTCCCCCCAAGCCTAATTTCAAGAGAGAGAAGGAGGGGTGCAGGTACTAGGGAAGTCTCCTGGGGGGCCCACGTTCACTCATGTACCCTGGGACAATTTACTGCCATCAGCAATCTTTGCCCCCTCCCTGCTCCCCCCTAAGTCTAGATCATTTATGAACAAGTTGAAAAGCCACAGGTCCCAATACTGATCTTGACGGGACTCCGCTTTCTGCTCCTTTCCACTCAGAGAACTGTCCCTTTACTCTCTTGGTGCTTCAGGAGGAGGGCTGCCTCCAACAGAGGGGGCACATTTCTTCTAGGGGCACCTTTCCGGGGTCCCCACGGTGCCTCCCAGCCTGGCTCCACTCGGCCAGGGCAGTTGCATTTTGTTTCGCTGCAGGTGAGGCTGCCCCCTGCAACGTGGGGTCTCAAAGGAACTTCATGGGGGGGGGATCAGCGAGAAGGAGCTTCTGGATCCTATGCAGCCTCCCCCGCCTGCTCCCTTCAGGTTTCCTAAGCCCCTCCCTTTTTCATTTCAAGTATTGTGAGTCCCGCACAGCCCTCAGGGCACCTAAGCATTGGGGGCGGAGCTATTTTGTTTGCTGAGGGCAGGAGTCACAATCCTGGCACACTGCAGGATGTCTGGGTTTTAGGTATGGGGGTGAAAAAAGTGGGGGGGGAGGTGGAAAAGAGGTGATAGGGGAAATATCCTGGGGTGTGGATTTTATTTTATTTTTAATCATTTTTATTGATTTTCCAAAAAAACTTGAGTGTTCACTGGAAGGACAGATCCTGAAGCTGAGGCTCCAAGACTTTGGCCACCTCATGAGAAGAAAAGACTCCCTGGAAAAGACCCTGATGTTGGGAAAGATGGAGGACACAAGGAGAAGGGGACGACAGAGGATGAGATGGTGGGACAGGGTTCTCGAAGACTTCCGGGTTTGTGCCTCCGGTAATGGCAGAATTCCTCTGATCGGGATGTTACGGTAAAATCAGGGTGCGAGGCTGCTCCGACACCCAGCTCGTCGGACTAAGTCCGCGGGTCCCTGTAGAGGAAAATGAGCTCAGCCGGAGACAGGAGCAAGCTGCAGAAGATCCACGTTTATTGCGCAACAGGTTCAAGGCGAGATTGAACCGCGAGAAAGGGGTGAAATAAACTTTTGAAACTTCTCTCCATGCCCCAGAATACAGTGCAAAACACATCCCAGTTACATCATGAATACATTAAGAAGAGGTTGGGTTATACAGGATTAACATATGGAGGAGGGAGGGGGAATATGCAGAGCTGGAGATATGCGCAGATAAGCACATCCTGAGTACCGGTGATGAGAAGACAATAGTCCATGTACTGGCATTTCCTGGAGGAAAGGCTTGGCAGAGTGATTTGACAGGATTAGGGTCTTGACACCTTGCTTGAGGAATTATGGAGGACAGGGGAGGTGTGATGGAGTCCTAGAGGAATTGAGCAAATTGGCACATTGATTTTCTATGAATTTTATAGATTTTAGTCCCTTTTGACATTGACAATTGGAAATAAATTGATATATTGTAGCGAAGAAGAAGGTGAAGAAGACATGCCCCCCCTTCCGTATCAGTCCCCCATTCGGAGATAGATTTGCATTAAAGTTCTGTAAGAACTTGCAAATCTTTTCTCCGCACCCTAAATCTCGGCGAAGGTAGGGGTGCCCTGTGAGTGGGAATAGGCTCTAATGGAAAAGGAGGTGGGTTGAGCAGGGCAGCAAAGGAGGGAGCAACACGGACCAATACAATGTACGTGTATGTTATATAGATATGCACTAAATAATAACTTGGTATCCACCGTACCAGATGTGTGGGTTTGTGCAAACCTGAAGGGGACTTGCAAGCCATGCCTCTTAAGGTCATTTGCAAGTATAGTACTGCAGATAGCTGGGTATAGGATATCACATAAAAGAACACCTGTTGTATTTTGTTCAATAGTGGTCTATGCTTTACATTTAGCAGGAAGGTCCACTACTGACTGGAAAAAAATGCAGTTTGGTTTTTTTAGCTCCACCGTTTTTGTGTTCTCAGGTGCGAAGGTAGCTCTTCTGTGGTCTCACACCGACATGGTGTCACAGTAGTGGCAATCCCTGGTGAATCCACTTAGGGCTTTCATATTAACCATGTTGCCTGGCACTCACCACAGCTGGCACAGGTTTGGA